GAAGGTGTGTTTATGGGTGGGGGGGAGGGTAAAATTTAAAAGATTTTACTTTCCAAATCAGACAAATTTCCAGTTTTAAGTTGATAATTAGTAGCCTTCAGATTCAGTTTAAAATGTGTTCCTTAATTCAACACACATCTAGATCTATCAACAGTCTTCACATCTAATCTGGATAACACTCTATACTGTAAAGGTAAACCTCCTGTGGACACACCTACCCTCCTCGACTTAAATACGGGCCAAACGACACGACCTGGTCATGACCTGCAGAATTTATAATAGCAATAACAACAACAGAAACCACATTCTTTCAGCTGGTCAGCATTGGTTTTTGGACAGCGCCACTGGTAGGTACTACTTTTTAACGATTCATCTTTTTTGTGTTTCCCTGCATCAAATGGTTGTTATGTGCATATTATCATCTTCACCCAACTAAACAAAAACAAAAAAAACTTCAGCAGGATGATGCATAATCAATTACTGCACAACGCAAGCGCTACTCCCTCGTCCGAACTTATCGTCTGTCCTCGGCGTGGAGAGCGTGAGGCGAGAGATGGCGTTGTCTGACACACTGTTCCGTTTTCGTGAAATACGTGACCCGTTCCGATTGGTCATGTCCAGATCGTGTCCGCCTCCCCCGTCTCCGGACGAGCTGAGTACGGACTTGATACCGCCGTTAAAATCCTCTGCCGATTCACTGCCTGCGTTGTTGGACGGCCGTCTGTACATAGCGTTGCGGAAAGAGACCCGGTGACCCCCGTCTGGGGCTAGTTCTTGGCTTGACCGTCTGGGAACGAAGGAAGATTGATACTCGCTACTGCTCGTGTCGCTGCGGCTCGGGTGGTGGAGATCTCGGGTGGAGTTGCTGGTCAGTTGTTCGGACAAGTTCCTGGTTTCGTTGAGCGCCAAAGCCAGTTTGGATTCCAGTTGTCGGATGCGTTTATCTCTGTTGACCAGCTCCTCCTCATGCTCCATCGCCTGGGAGGGAAGTAAATACCTCTTGTTAATACACGGGAAACCACCTATTGTAAAATCACTTGAAACAGAATTTACTAAGAAAAAAGAACAGAACAAAATGAACAACGCATCATGTTTCCAGGGTAGGGGAAGCTAAGCAACCTCCTCAACCCTGGCAGACGATTCAACAATCAGTTCAACTGATGGAGACCGTCAGTGTAAACACCTTAATACGGACCATACTGAAGAGGGGCAAGGACTTATAGATAGAATCCATCTCTGAAGATACAATTCTAGAAACAAGTAACCAATATTCTACACATCTTAATGATATCACAATAAAATCATGATTGACCAGGAACACATCATTCCGCACTTCTGCTTTCGGAAATACCTACAGTGTTTTGAACTGACTCATCTTACATTAACTGTGCGTGTAGAGCTTGGAAAAAGTGGTAATACACAATATTAACATGTAGTGCCTTACACTAATTAGCTCCTAGTTGCTGCTCTGTCTGTCAAGAAAAATTAGTTACCGTTATGAATTGCTTAAACCGTATCACGATTCCTTCAACCATTAAAGTGGAATTTGAGTCATGAAGAAGAAGAAGAAGAAGACGAAGACGAAGAACAAGAAAAAGAACAAGAAGAAAAACAAGAAGAACAAAAAGAACAAGAAGAACAAGAAGAAGATAACCAGAAAGATAATCGTAACAATAATCCGTATTTTAACAAAATAACGAGAACAACATGAGCATCGAGCATTGACCTCAACTCAACGTCAACAAAAATTCTGGTGAATGGTGAAATGGTTATTTAGCCCCCCTGTCAACACTACTGGTTGATTAAGAGGTAGGACATTCGGTAGGTTTAACGTCGAAATTCGTGTAAAGTACTCAAGGACACAATAACGTCGGACCGAGCTAAGGCTCGAACTCCAGAACCTGCAATCTCACCATTACGAGTCCAGCAGCCTAACCACAAGGGTACCGACGCCATCAGCAACGAAAATATAAACGAAAAGGTAACAAAACAGAGAAAAATGGTCACAAATGACACAATAGCAGCACTCACAGCCCTCTGCAGGCGCCCGATGAGGATATCCTTGCCAGCTATTGTGGATGTAGCCGCGGCCAGCTCTGAGCGGTACTTTTGTACGGTTGTCTCTAGAAGATGTTGTTTGTCCATCAGGTTAAGGCGAACCATATCCCTAAATGGAAACACGAAAGTAACAGAAAGGATGTTTTTTTGTTGTTTAAAAAAAAAAAAATTTTGCTGTTTGGTTTGGTTTGGTTTGGGTTTTTTTATTTCTAAGAAGTAAAATACTAATAAGTACTTGGTGGAAATTTAGACTAAACTTTTAGAAGCATAAGGTCATTATGAAAATAGACGTAATCAATGAATTAAGTCACAAAGTCTTAAGTAACCAGACAATCTTACATTGCAGTAGGGATTGGGGG